CTGGCCGTTGTCTGCCTGCTCTATGGATTTTGTACTTAATAATAAAAAAGACTCATCGCCAGATCTACGGAGTGCGATGCATCTTCAGATGGGGTGAATTAAAAATAAAATACAAAAACTAGTGACTCGGAATCCTCTACATGTGGTGAAAGAATGCCACATGAATCACCAGAAATGATTGCTGGTGTTTTCACTGAAGATAACTCACCTTTCAAACAGCCATCTCCTCTAAACCCTGTTTCTAACGTTTTTTTTTTTAAAAAGGTGTCATCAAAGTACGGTAAATACAACATTTGATAAAAGTAATGTTAGTCTCCCCCAGACCCCGCCAATATACACACTAGCTCCCTTCTGATTGGCAGTTCCGGAGCCCCGTGACCTTCGCACAAGGTGTTCCGCAATGCCATTGAGATCACGTGTTGTATATTTCAGCACGCCAGCGCTTTCTAACTCCAAAATCACGGAGAAACCGGCTCTAATACAACAACCGTAGAGAGAGCTGCAACCTATGTCACCGGCATTTTCTTTCTCGGAAATAAAAGGTAAATGCAAGACATCACAGAAACCAAACAACAGAGCTAGACACACCCGTGCGACACTCAGTGTAAGCTGTTTGTGGGCGTCTACTCCGTCCATTTCCTAGTTTTAGTGAACCCGTTTTTTGCTCCCCGTCCGTGCGTTGGTAATAGATACGCCAGTACCTGTCCTTTACATCCTTTTGAAGGAAGTTTTTCGCCAGGAACACAGATGAGTATCATTTATTGTGTACATTAGTCCCATGTAGTCACTTCACAGTTAGAGCTTATGTGTGTATGTGTACTGTATTGTTCTTTATGTGCTGATAAAGGCTAATCGCCGCAACGTCCTTTGTTTGTTTATTGTGATCGATTTTGTAAAGCTAACATAAACTGCTTGTTTTTTCTCACCAACTTTTTCTCTTCCCTAAAATTTCATAACCCTCTAAAAACTTCCTTTTTTTCTAAGAACGTTTCCAATCCACCAATAAATAATAAAATGGGATGCTCTTCCCATATGCCCGATGCGGTTAAAGGCGTGAAACGTTATCTTTAGCTTACTTTTTACTTTATAAAACAGCTTGATCATCTGGACTTCTCCTATGATATTTCTATTTTGTCCCTCTTACCGAATCAGATGCAAGATAAATTAAATATACTTGATGTGAGAACACAACAGCTAGTCTGAAAATTCATAAGCGAATGACAAAGATAACGAGGAAAAATTTGACAAATAGTAATGTGGTTTCTCACAATGATATCCCGCCTCAAGACGTGGAGTCGTACACCTATTTGGGAAGTAATGTAGATACAGATGTGGGAACTGAGAAAGATATTAAAAGACGAATACAAAAAGGCAAGAGAAGCTTTTATTGCACTATAAATTTGTGGAGGACAAAAGAAATTAAAAATAATATTAAACTTATTTTACTGTCAAATAAGTACTGTTGTGTTGAGCGGAAACACGGAGAACAACAAAGGGAGTGATTAATAAACTACCAACATTCATTAGCCTGAGCCTCGCAGAGTGGAGGGAATTAAATGGTAAGATAGAATCACTAATTTAGAGCTTTGGGAGAGAACTAAACAAGTTCAAGTGGGCCAAGAAGTGAAGAAAAGACACAGACGATGGATAGGACACAGGCTGAGATAACCTTAGAACTATATAACAAGAATTTCTTTGCACTGGAACCCACAGAGGCATAGAAATAAAGGAAGACCAAAAGCACACGAAGAGAGTGAAGTTAAAAAGATGCGGAGGCTATTTGGAGAGCTGCCTGCAATCGTGAAGGATACAACGACTTGGCGTAAGGTAGTTGAGGGTCTATGAACAAGTGAAGTGATGAAAGGCAGAATCTGTGCTGCTTCCGGAAACGTGCAAAATATGTGCCGGAATCTGTTCTCCCCCCCCCCCCCACCCTTTTTTCCCCCTTTCCAACCCTCTATTCCGCAATAATTTAATCTCTATAACTTTTATTGCAGAACTATGGACAATTGGCTAAAAACTGAGTCTTTAAAACGGAAAAGGGTGAACTCATTGAAGCTTCTGAAGTGACTGATTCAATGACAACCAGCGTCGTCAGAGGAGACGAAGTGTCTCAGCAGACACCTACGTGCCTAGGGCATCCAAGTTGGTGTGTCTCAGTTCGCTGAAAGGCAACTCACGACCAAAAGGAAATTCATGGAGAACTAAGAAAATAGGATCCTAGTTACCTCCCTTTATTTGGCTATGTTTCGGTTGGGAACGAACAAGTACCGGAAGGACAATGCGTTATCTGCCATATTAGTGTTGCAAACGGTTGCTTTTTTTTTTTTTTTTAATAACTACTTTATTATCAAAAATTTTTTATAACTATCATTCAGTCAATTTGCAAATGCAACGTTTTAGTTTTGGAAAACTAAACTGCAGTAATATATTCAACAGTTCATCACCATTCAATGCTAGACGAAGCACACGCACACACACACATTTAGAAAAGCAGCATATGATATCACTATAAAAAATGTCTCCAAATTTACTACTGGAAAAATCATTTTAAAAGAGGGCTGCAACATATTTCAAAATTTGTAACAAATCTAAAAGAGTTCAAAATGCAGTCATAAACAAACTACTCTGAAGCAGTTCCCTTAAGGTTCTTGTAGTGTTTAATGTTTGTCATCACCCAGAACATGGACAGCAAGATGGCAAAACACATTCATACGTTCACAGTTGTTAAAAGAGTGTCAACGTTGTTAGTGTTATGTAATATACTTACATGAGTAATAAAAGATCACATAATGTAAACATTACGTGAACCATTTTTTCACATCATGGATGGCATAGATTATTATTAAAACATTGTGAACGAACAATACATGTTTCTATTAAACCAATACGAACAATACAATATATTATTAAAAAAATTATATATACACGTTATTTTTAAAATGTCATGGCTTTTCACAAAACTGATTATCTGGCAGGGTTAATTTATGTGCCTCTAATTTCGTTCACCCTCCCTACCCCCACCCCTTGGTTAAGGGGCCCGTTGTAGCGAAGGAAAGGGGGGGGGGAGAACCAGAATAGACCCACTGTCTCCCCAAAAAGCATGTCGTAGTAGTCGACTGATTGGGAGCTTCCTTCAAAGTGCATCTGCCTGAGCGGCAAGCCAAGACACAAATAAGCCAGTAAAACGAGTGTACACTCAAAACGTGGGCCCTGGCACAAAGCCAAAGTCCAAATTGACAAACAACCAAGACTTTCGGCTGGAACTTACAGCCTGTGAAATATGGAGAAGAAAAAGGAATATCTTTACCAGTAAACAGTTCTTCCCTCTAGGGCTGTACCGAATATTCGCTTCGTATTCGCTTCGGGGCCGAATAGTGGACTTAATAACTATTCGGTATTTGGCCGAATACTTAGGGTCGGGCCAAATACGAATAGTGGTTCCCTTACACCCGTTGGGTATATACTGCGACTGACTGAAATAACTCTCTCATTAACATAATAGTTGCTGTTGCCTAAGTCTGTAGTAGCGGGGGAAAAACTGGGACCCGGTTGCGTGGTACAACAGCCTGCTGACTCGACCAAGGCATTACAGCAGAGGTTCTCAAACCGGGTGCGTGTGCCAGGGGTGCCGCGGCGAAAATCAAGAAAATTCGGCTATAAATTGTGACGTTATTAAAGAAGGCATGAAGATACTTAAAAGTTAAAATTAAAATTGTCTTTCCTCGCCACTGTCGCAATTTTTTTTTTCCTTGTTTCACACTCAAAGTGTACCATACTGCATAAAATGCCAATCGCAGCGTGCTAAAAATTGTTTTTGTATTTATCTCGAGGTGCGACTGATCCTCCATCTGTATTCGTGAAGGTACAGCGAATAACTAAGGTTATGATTACATTTTGGCTGAAATTTTAAAGTGGGAATGTGGTCTGTACTTGTTAACCTCGTCAAGTGAGCACTTATATTTAAAGGCAATGCGTAGTGAGTCCTGGACAATCGGTAGGCAGGTCAAACAATTGCTTGAGGCCTCAGAGATGTGGTTTTACAGAACAATGCTTAAAATACCCTGGATAGCCCAAAAAAAGCAACCAAGAGGTTTTGAAAGTTGCGGGAGCCCGAAGACAACTAATCACATACATCAGAAGGAGACAGTCATCATTTTTTGGCCATGTTATGAGATGGAAAATGGAACATGTGGTGACTACTGGAGAGATCTGTGGAAAGAGCGATAGAGGAAGACAACGAGATAAGATTCTTGACAGTCTTGTTGCATGGCATGAAGGTGTGTCATCACACGAACAAATACATGGTGCAGGAGATCGCAGATTGTGGCGAGGCATATTCGCCCACGCCAGTCGGCAAGGCACCTGATGATGATGACACACTATTCGTATTGGTATTCGGCCGAATAGTTGGTCCCGCTATTCGTATTCGGCCGAGTAGTGAAAATCACTATTCGGTACAGCCATACTTCCTTCCCTCCCCCCTCCCCTTTTTTTTGCATATTCTCTATATACTTTTGATAGAAATCAGCTATTGGCACATCATAATCTATGTTCTCACGTCTTATATATTTTACCATTAACTTTACAAGTCAGATCGCTGAGCCAGTATGACTGTTATACCAATATTTGTGTGTGTGTGTGTGTGTGTGTGTGTGTGTGTGTGTGTGTGTGTGTGTGTGTGTGTGTGAGAGTTTTCCTTTGTACTTTGTCCAACATCCGACCATAAATAACAAATATCGACAAGACATCATCGTATCAACCATCACACTGATATTTAGATTTTAAAATAATTGTTTTTGATTGTTTCTTTTGTGTACTTGACACTTAGATTGATGTGATGTTTTCTTTTTTAGTTCTTTTTATGAGTGCCTGTCATTCTAATCTTTGTCCTCCTCCTTTTAATAATTTTTTTAACTGGTAATGCAAAATGGGGGGGGGGGGGGGTTTTGCCATATATTCAAGGGAGCGCCACCTGAGAAAGACTGAGAACCACTGTTCTACAGTCTTGAGGTTCTGCTTACGAACCTCACCTCATACGGAGATGGTACATGGGTTATTTGTAGACACCCCTTCAATGGCGGAACTCTCTTAGAGTCAGGGGGCAGAATCTGGAATCTCTGTATGATGTTGGAGACAAATATGTACAGTTCCAGCTTGGCCATTGAATCGCCTAGGCAGTTTCTTTTGCCAATAGCAAATGGGATCCAGGCGTCCGGTGTATACAAGCTTCCGTCGGACGCAATGAATCTTTCAGGTCGGAACTGGTCGGCGTCGTCGCCCCACAACGCTTTGTCGTGCAGTACTGTGTCGAAGTTGATCAAGACGTGGCTGTCTTGTGGAATCAGATAGCCGGCGATCTGGACATCGCGTCGCACCACACGAGCTCCGCTGAACGGAAGCAAGCTTGCCAGGCGTTGTACCTCCATGATAGTGGCTGTTGTGTAGACTAGCTTAGACCTGTCTTGGGTGTTCGGAGCTCGATCCTGCCCAACAACTTCACTAATTTCCTCAAAGACTTTATCTTGAACCCGTGGATAGTTCACCATGTACAAGAAGAACCATCCAAGCGTGGTAGCAGTAGTTTCTGTCCCCGCTACAAACAGATCAAAGATGCAACGTAACAGATTTGATTTGTCCAAGTAGGTTTTCTCGCCCGCTTGGACTTTCTTGTTAATCTCCTGAAGATACGCAGCAATATAGTTCCCAGGTTCTCCAACAACTTGCTCATTTTCTTGTATGTAATAGCGAGCAAATATGTCGAAAAATTCTCGAAAATTCTTGGTTATAATTTTACAATAAAACAGATCACCAGGCAAAAAGCGAAGCCATGGAAAGTAATTTAACAAAGCAGTTCCTTTAAGTTTAGACAGATTGTACCTGATGAGCTCGAGAATTTGGGCAAACTGTTGATCATCGTAGTCAAATCTCCTGCCGACTATTATTGAGCACATAATGTTTGACACGGCGGTTGTCGTTAGGGAGTCGACGTCTTTGGGTTTTCCCTGGAAACTCTCCAGAAGCTCCATGAAGTAATTGACCTCTTCCTGAACTTTCTCAGCCAGCATATTCTTACCCAGGCCAAAGTTTTTGAGGACTGTCATCGTGAAGAGCCGGTGTTCCTTCCAGGCAGGACCATTTGATGAGGCTAGGCCCTTGTTGACACTGTCGGACGCCTGAAACAGACGGCAGATACATCAGGAACTCTTACCACATCAAGTATTCAACAATGTCGCCGTTTACTTCTTTAACTCTCCAGCAGGAGAGGGGATAGACCAACTGCATGTCGCAAAAGGTGACTAATTAAGAGTTTGCTGAAATCAGTCATCTCTCAAGTGTCCAAACTTAGCTTCTCTTTCAAAGGCCAAAGCAGAAGGTGAAACATTATTTTCAGACGCAATGCAAAAACAGAATAGCACCATACAGTCACTGACTAGCATACAGTAAGTACAACCGTCCGTGGCATAGGCGTTGCGAGTCCGGCTCGTATTTCCAACGTACTGCGATCGAAACCCACTGTTGGCTGCGTAGATTTTTATGATTGTATGAGGCGTTGCAGGTCGACCTAGCCTAAAATGGGTACCAGGAAGGAAGTCCTAGGGAAGTAAAGACAGCCGGCGTAATGATGACTACATTACCAACTTAGTGCCGATTGGTCTGTAAAAATATGGGGTGCTCTTCCGCTAGAATTCAGTAAAAGCTCCATATTGTCATGGACTGCCATACAGTACCATACCCATACTGTCATTGACTAGCTTACATACAGTACCAGCCCTATACTGTCATCGACCAGCATACAGTACCAGCACCATATTGTCATTGACCAGCACACAGTACCAGCCCTCATATTGTCATTGACTAGCATACAGTACCAGCCCCGAAACTGTAATCGACTTGCATACATACAGTACCAGCCCTCATATTGTCAACGACTAGCATACAGAAGCAGACCCATATTGTCATTGACTAGCTTAAATACAGTACCAGCCCTATACTGTCATCGACCAGCATCATATTGTCATTGACTACCATACAGTACCAGCTCCGAAATTGTTATCGACTTGCATACATACAGTACCAGCCCTCATATTGTCAACGACTAGCATATAGTAGCAGCCCCGAAATTGTCACCGACCTGCATACATATAGTACCAACCCCACATTGACATCGACTAGCATACAATAGCAGCCCCATATTGTCATCGACTAGCATACAGTACCAGCTCCCATATTGTCATCGACTGGCATACAGTACCAGCTCCCATATTGTCATCGACTGGCATACAGTACCAGCTCCTATATTGTCATCGACTAGCATACAGTACCAGCTCCCATATTGTCATCGACTGGCATACAGTACCAGCTCCCATATTGTCATCGACTAGCATACAGTACCAGCTCCCATATTGTCATCGACTAGCATACAGTACCAGCTCCCATATTGTCATCGACTGGCATACAGTACCAGCTCCCATATTGTCATGACTAGCATACAGTACCAGCTCCTATATTGTCATGACTAGCATACAGTACCAGCTCCCATATTGTCATCGACTAGCATACAGTACCAGCTCCCATATTGTCATCGACTAGCATACAGTACCAGCTCCCATATTGTCATCGACTGGCATACATACAGTACCAGCTCCCATATTGTCATGACTAGCATACAGTACCAGCTCCCATATTGTCATCGACTAGCATACAGTACCAGCTCCCATATTGTCATCGACTGGCATACAGTACCAGCTCCCATATTGTCATCGACTAGCATACAGTACCAGCTCCCATATTGTCATCGACTAGCATACAGTACAGTCCCATATGTCCAGCTCCCAGCTCCCATATTGTCATCGACTGGCATACATACCTGGCCATAACGTATCAACCTTTGCATACCCGCATCCTCCCCCCCCCCTTTTTTTTTTTTCTCCACTATTTTTTTTTTTACCAATACAGATTTAAAAAACCCCCACTAATATGCATAATTTCAAGAGTTTCTAAATGTGTTGCCTAGTACTATTACATTCGTCCTCATGTGGGATGTAATTTTTCGTTATTTATAGCCCCACCCAGGCTTTTGCCTGGTACTCTGAATATAACCGGGCCATAAATATGGCCATAACGGCTGAAAGGGGTTTCTGGGACCTCTCCAAGGGTGATCCTCATCTGCATGGTGGCACTATATGTCACTGGGTGTTTATCGCTTGTGTGATGTCCTTGTCGGGTACAGCTTACCTACCTACCTACACGATGCCATATTTGATCATCCCTCGGAGAACTCCACATTCTACCCCCTCACCCCACCCCTACTGTTCGCCCTTTTGTTACGCCTAGGCGACTTGCGCCTGGGTGATTCTTATCCGAATGGTGACACGTTGTGTCACAATGTGTTTTGTCTTTCGTAGTGCGGTTCTGGCGGGGGTTGAACTGCATTCATTCACAACACCGACCATTGTACTTACAATGTCCACATAGTTGACGGCCCTGTCCATGAAGTCGTCTCCTTGTTTGACCAGCACCTCCTTGGCCACATCGAGGCCGTTGAAGACCACCACGCGAGTGGAGCCCAGGTACAGGCTGGGGACAGAGAAACAACGGGTACTTGAAATCTTGTCTATCCCAGAAATGGGGCAGACAATCAGTTATCTCATTAATTACAACAAAGACATTGACAGTATGTCATATGCTGCTGCTGCTATCGGCTGCTGGTGTTGCTTCTACTACTACTACAGTTGCTGATGCTGCTACTGCTACTGCTGCTGCTATTATTACTACTACTACTTCTTTGAGCCTAGCTTAATAAAGAAGACAGCCGGTAAATGTTTAATGTAGTTGTACGAGATGTCAGGTTTTGCGTCGATGAAGTCCTAGTGCCTCGCCCAAATCCCCCAAGTGGACGTCCAACCAGGATTCTACATGGAGTTTAAACCGATGAACACTAGACATCCTTATGTGTTTGTCGATTCCTCTGATTATTTATTTCCTCTTTTACAGCTTCCGATATCGAGGGAGATATAAAGTACTCCTGCTTGCTCTTAAGGCCCCATCGACTATAGATAGCCACCGTGCTGTTGTGGAGTTTCTCTGACGTTGTCTTTCCATCTCGTCCTTGGTTTAACCCGTGTCTACGTTCGTTTCCTCTTTTAGAGCAGGCCCTGTTTTTCCACTAATTAAGTTTAGTGTTTAATCAAGATACAGCACATATCGGCGTCTATGGCTAAGGTGTTGCGAATGCGCTTTGTAATTTCAAGCTGAAGGGTTCGATCACAGCTGCCGGCGAATAGGCAGTTTGGTAGCAGATGGGTTGGGTTGGTTTCGACAGTGGTATCAAGGGTCGACCGTCCAGTGGCAATGGGAAACTGCTGGTCGCAAGATCATAAACAGCCAAAATAATTGCTGCGGTTGATTCTGCAACGTCCTGTAAAGCAAGGTCATTCAACTGGTGGCCCGTGTTTTCAAATGTGGTCCGCAGAGCCTAGCAGATAGGTCAACTTCACCACACACTGTTGAACATGTTTCCAAGAGGCTTTCAGCTCAGATGCGCGAAACGCTGTAGCATCGGCGAAAATCTTGATACAAAAATTGACTATCTTATTTATATATATATATATATATATATATATATATATATATATATATATATATATATATATATATATATATATATATATATATATATATATATATTTAACTGTTGCATTCCACTAACTATAAACAACGCACGAATTCCATTCTCGTTATGTATAATTAGTGACTGTTACAAAATATAATAATGACCGCTGCCATCTTGCCCCGGAAGTCCAAGTTTAAGTGGCAAGCACATCATTGCCAATTGTATACATGTTCTTTCTTTGCAGAGACTAGGGCCTCTAGCCCTAAAGATCCCAATTTGCAACATTTTAGCCCGTGTATAAACTTAAATGAACATCCCTGAAGGATAGGCAACTAATTACATACCTGTAAACATCGCCACATTGCTCTCTAAACTTGGCGAACTTTACCCTTGGGTCAGCGGTCAGTTGTAGCAGGTGTCCAACGATTGGCCAAGCACCGCTAGGACTTGGCGGACATTTTGGATTAGGACGGTGCAGCCAGAAATAAGCTACCAAAATCCCAATGGCGCCCACCAAGAGGGCTGTTGTTAGTAGATCCATACTGTTTTGATTTTCTTAGTATGTCTGACGAAATAACAATTGTGTGATTGGTAAATTTATGATTCCTATTTTCTAATATTAACTCTTTGAGTCCCAAGGAACGCATCATACGTTCATAGGTTCCTACCTAGAAGCCCAATGAACGCATGATGCGCTGATTTCAATACTTTCTTTACTACCCCCTGGGCCTGTGATGCTAAACCCCCTGGGACTCAAAGAGTTAAGTAATAGTCAATGTATGAATATTGCTGAATATTGTGGGGATGAAGAGTGCTAGAAAAGGACTTTCATTGATTATTAAGAAAACTGAGTTATCAAAGAAGAAGATAACTCCACGTTGTGATATCATAATTAAAGGAAAAAGACTTAACCAAGTGAATACATATAAATATATGGGAACAGTCATATCATCAGAAGGGAAATGTGCGACAAAAATTAAAAGCAGAATAGGTCAAGCGAAAGCTGTATTTTAAAAAAAAATGAACAATATTTTTTTTTCGATAAATCGCTCTGATTTAATGTCAGAAAGAGGCTGCTAAAATATTACATAGAACCAGTTTTGCTGTATGGTAGCGAATCTTGGAATATCACTGAACACATTAGGAAGAATTTGGAAGCAACAGAGATGTGGTTGAGACGAATATTGCGAACCCTTGGACGACCAGAGTAACTAACAAGAACTGCTTGAAAGAAGCTAATGAAAGTAGATCTCTATATACAACAATAAGAAAGAGACAAACACTGTTCTTTGGCCACATAATGAGAAGAGAAAAATTGGAGAACATCGTGACAACTGGAAAGATGAGTGGAAAAAAGGGTAGAGGCAGACCAAGAAAGATGATGCTGGGTGGGCTGAAACGATGGCATGGAGGGATATCATCAAGAGAGATGTTTCAGTCAACCAGTGATCGTGATCTGTGGAGATGCATGAGCGCCTACGCCAGTTGGCAGGGCACATGATAATGATGAAATGTGTGAATATTTATTGATAGCGTGACATAAATCAGCAAGTACTATACAGAACGTCGACCTCTTGACGGCATACCAGAATGTCTCTCTGTTTCTTGTCGTTTCCCCAGGCCTCTACCAATTCACATTCAATGCATCTTCAATGTCCTGTCTCTATCTTCGCAGCCTCGTTTTTCTGGGAAACTGCAACTCCATGATCGTTTTCTCCAAGCCACCGTGACGTTTAGGATGGCCAGAATAGCTCTCGTTTCGGGAGAGGCTGCTGTTTATGAGCCAGTTATCCTCGATTCTGAGATCACAGGGGATGTCGGTGTGTGTCTTCTTCATTGCCAATGGTATTCTTTAAAAAAAATTTCTGTAGCTTTTCAGTTCAGAAACTTAACTTGATATACATATTCTTTCATTAGGTAATTGTAACGGACCTTTTTTTTTTGCGCCAGTCGTGTAGTGGAAACTTCATGCTAGACACATTTTTTGTATAGCTCAGTGGGAGATGTGTTCAACATCAAGCCGGTCGTTTTTACTTCCAGTGGCATTATCTAGCACCCATTTAAACCGACGTCAACCTGGGAGGGAAGGTCAGTTTGGAAGATAGAAAATCCGATCAAATCTTGCGGTCTTCGGGCCGGCAGGTTAGCATCAAACCACTATACTCTTGCAACTCACTTTCTGGCACAACTCGTGGCTGTTTTCAAGCTATCCAAAATGGTCGGAATTTTCAAAACAAAATAGAAGTCGCAGCACTTTCTTGAAACTATTTAAATTGCAGGGTCTACAATAGTGCAGCAACTTGCAAGTTCGTCAGACAGCTCGATAGGAACATGTTCAAATCTCCATCTTGCTGAATTGTATAAATAGGCCTGATTTCGCAGGTCGTCAGTCTAGATTGAAAAACCGGTTTACATTCCACTGCAGTGTCTGAAAGTGTTTGCGAAGTAGGTTAAAGTTTCGTCTAGCTGCCAGAGAAAGACTACAGACTGCAACAGGTTAATCTAACGCATGCCCTAGATATAACTGGTTAAATTAGCTACTATGATTAGGTTGATTATAACAACAAATAGTGTCAATTAAATAAATTTGTTTAAAGAGGTTCAGGAAACAATAACTACGAGGCCTGTCATTTTACGACTAATTGTTTTAAATAATGTTGATATATCTTGTTTTATAAGATGTGCGGCGATAGTCAAAACTGTACACACGTTAAATGTCACTCCATTTTATTTACTTTTGGAGCAGAACCGCAGCCTTGTAGGGTTCATTAGAGTACAGGCAGAGAACCCCTGGTCCACATAGCCACCTTTCTATGAGTTCCATTAGTAATAATGGACCAAGTCCTAACGTTTTCGTAATCTGGTAATCCTAGTTTCAGCTTCATAGCAAACAGGTCACCCCATAGTTGCTCCGCTCCTGCGCCAACGAAAAAACACACGTAGCTCACAGTGTCACGTCATGCACTCAACTCAGAAGCAGGGCGACGAAACTATATCTTTCCAGTCTACAAATGGAACAAAAAATGCAACGGCCACCGTCTGAAAAAAAAAAGGGTGGTCGTGCCTAGCGTCCATTTTGACCTGAAGCATTATGTGAGGGTTAATAAACGGTCACCCCAGCAGTACCTCGTAATCTATTCTTTGTATGACCCACATCTCTGCGGGTTCAGTTTGATGTCAACTAATGGACTTATTCGTTATTTCATGAAATTATCTACACAGCTTACAGGCATTAGTGACTGAACGGCATCAACACCAACCATACAGGAGCCAGCCACACAGCTTGTCAGTCGCACACAGTTCTCTGTACAACCAGGGCTGCCAATAAGATTTTTATGAAAAGCCCAGCTAAACTCAACAAAAACCCAAGTAATACATAGGCAAAGAACACAAAACAATATAAAAACCCTTGATTGTTAAACATTACAAATTGTATAGTTACGAAGCGAAACATTTACCCACTTTTATATAAGGATATATATTTTTTTAAAACCTAGATTTCAAAATTTGAACGCAAGGCGTCAAAAAAAAAAAAAAAAAAAAACACCAGATCTGGGTGTAAAAACCCAGCATTGGCAGCCCTGTGTACAACACAAAAACCCCACCCGTATTATCAACAGGAAATGTGCTCAGGTCTGGCAGCACGTGACTGGCAATCAGCTTGGCCAATGTGGGCTAGCGCAGTGATTCTCAAACTGTACGCCGTGGCGCCCCCGGGGAGCTGCGACCTCTTCACAGGGGCGCCACGAAATATTCGAAGATACACGAGTTTTTTTTTTTTTTTAAATCTCTTACATACGAATAGTCATACTTTTAAGGTTAGGGCGCCGTGAAAAATGTTAATTAAAAAAAAAAAAAAAAAAAGGCGCCGCGACTAAGACAAGTTTGTGAAACCCTGGGCTAGCGGGACCCGGGATCGAGCTGTGTGTGAGCTGCAGACGACACTTAACCTTGGGATATTTAACACTGTACACAACATGACTGACTGCGCCCATTGGCATGAAAAACAATGCAGTGTTTCTGTCAGCTTACAGTTTCCAAGCTAGATTATTTAGTTATTATGTTATATTATTTTCAGGTTTTCTAACTGGGTAGTTTAATTTTAATTCACCCTCTAAAAATGAACTCCTGGAGTTCACGGAAAAGTAAACGCGTTATGGGTAAGGGTTAGGATTTTGTCAGCCCTTCACCCCTGCAGTGACTCCGTCTAACCCTACCACTAATCACAGCTCTATTATATCTAACCCTAACTCATAATACGTCGCCAATCTCACTACCCAGGGGGGGGATGCTAGAAAATTTTGTCTTAGGCTAGTTTCACGTTTTTAAAAAACACGGGCGTCCAATCTCACTACCCAGAGACCTGCTAGAAGTCTAAGTTCACGGGCCGGGTTTAAACCCAGAACCTCTAGCACTCGAGGCAGACACCATGCTTCGAGACCACCCAGCTCCCGGGTGAATTAAAAGTAAAGTACCTCTAACTGCGAATCCTATCCAGTGCCAGCTTCTTGTCTTGATATCTTGATAGATTGGAATTTGACTGTCTCCGTTACTGTCTCTTACTAATTGAAGAATCGACATTAAAGCACAACGGGCATAATTTGTGCGCCCGAAAATAAGACCTACACCAAAAATAAGCTCTGGCGCGATTTTTTTCAATACGTTTTTTTTTAATATAAGCTCTACCCCAAAAACAGGAGCTGTTTGTTGGACACGACAGACTGGGACCCAGTGCATCTAGATCGTGATACCAGCTAAGTGATTTTTTTGTATCTATGTAGTATTGTTTATTTTGTGTGTGCTGATGAAGGCTCAAAAGCCGCAACGTTCACGTTTTGTTTGTATTTGTTATATTGTGAAGCTTGCAAATATACTTTTCGTTCGGGTTTATCTCTTTTCTGCATGACACGGAGTCGCAAGACATTCAGGCCAGATTTCGCAATTTGGAGAGTTAGGACACTGTTCCAAAAGAAGCTAGCATGATTGTAAGCGAATAAATGTAGATTTTTGTTTACGGAAAAAGAACTACCCCCCCCCCCCCCCCACCAGCCTATGGCAATTTTTAAGCAATAAAAAATGAACACAAGACCCGGGTGACGAACTCCTTGTGGTCCGGGTTCACTCCCGGGGGTAGGCAAAAAAGCCACATTTCTCCCAGATTTACGGTATTTGCAATGGAATCAAGGCCAAGAGGTTGCGATATCCATAATACTATACCGAGCCTAAGGGTTAACAACTCATCGCTTCTGGATACTAAAACAAACAAATAAACAAACAAACATATTCGAAAAAAAAAACTGGCAATGCTCCTTCTGCCGCAGCAAATATTTTCAATTTTAGACAAGCAATAATTAATATTACCTGATTCCCCGAAGCTGAAGAATTAGCACGAAGTCCAGAAAAACAAAATTGTGCAGAGGAAATAAGCACACCCCACACATCGCATGCACCAACAGTGCCTGACAGTCAGCAAAGCGAATCGGTTGCAACCAGTCCACATTCAGAGTTTACATTACACATTTGTGGCTGCAGATTTCAAAA